CTACTCTGAGTGTACGAAGACTGTAAACCTCACATTTACACACTTATACCACACATTTTGCTGAATGATTTTGATTGAATGAATTGTGTTGTTTTGGGATTGGGATTGGGAGTTGGTCCATCACACTCTAAATACTTTCCAGAAAAAGACTGTTGTGGAAATTTTATTTTAAGGCAAAAGTCTGAGTCCATTTGAGGAAGTAAGAAATGGAAATTTATTAAAAGGGAAAAAAGGGAAAACTTAATGAAGCGAGAGCAGGATCATACAAGTGGTTCATATGACGTACCAAACTGCCCCAAAGTTAAAACAAAACATGGTGCATTTTATACCCCTCTGAGCCTGAAAATAAGATGTAAAGTCTGTCCTTTTTTCTGCACCTGTATTAAACAATCCTCCAGACAAAACATTAAGAGATAAAGAATAAGGAGACCCTCTCTGAGACCTAGAAGGAGGAATGACTAACTGAAACACGTCTGAACAAAAACGTAAATACAGGAGCTCCTTCAATCTCCGTTACAGAATCTTTGAGTCTTTTCTTTAAGGAGCCTCCTGGAAAAGCTCTCCATCTTCTTGAGGAACTTCCCAAAGCTCTTCTCTAAAAAAGCGTCTGCTGCCTTTGGCTCCGTTCTCTGTCAGAGAGACACGCTGCTTCCTGGTTTCATCCCGGTTCTGACCCACTGTGGGAACTCAGGAACTCTTATTTTGGCTCTATTTTGGTCATTTTAGCTTGTTTTTGCTTTGTTCTGGCCTTTTTAGCTCTATTGTTGCTTTTTTGGTTTATGTTTTTGGTCATTTGAAGCCTTGTTTTCACCTTTTTGTTGAATATTTGGTAATTTTAAGCCTTGTTTTCGCCTTTTTGGTGAATATCTGGTCATTTTAAACCTTGTTTTCACCTTTTTGGTGAATATTTGGTCATTTTAAGCCTTGTTTTCACCTTTTTGGTGAATATTTGGTCATTTTAAGCCTTGTTTTTGCTTTTTTGGTGTATTTTTGGTGTTATTTTAACCTTTGTTTTTGCTTTTAAGTTAATATTTGGTCAATTTAGCCTTGTTCTTGTTTTTTATGTTGTGTTTCTGGTCATTTTTAGCTTTGTTTTTCCTTTTTTTCTGGTGTATTAAAACACTCAGAGGAGTGAGGATCCGTCCCTCCATCAGAGCTGCTGGGGTTCAGTCCACTTCTGGTTCCTCTGGCAGAGCGACGCTTTTCCTCCTGTTTTCTTCCTTCATATCTTCTTACATCCCCCTTCATGGAGAGCATTTCTGATTCAGCCTCCAGGAGCTGATCAGTTGGAGGTCCAGATGTTCAGCTGTCTGCTGGATCTTCTTTTTCTGAAGGACCTCACTCTCATATCCTCTTCATCTGCTGGATTAGAGAGTTTTTGAGGCCTCCACTTGTCCAGTTTTCTTAAATATTTTAAGGACTCACTGCTCACCAGGCTGAGATCTGCCCAGTTTTCAGCCAGCAGCTCTTTGGGAACCATCAGAAATCCTGTTTCCTGTCTTTGAAACTGAGCTATCTTTGGCCTTTTTCCCCACACCAGATAAAGAAATGGGAACAAATACTCTGTATCTCTCGGATCCTCTTCATCTGCTGGATTAGAGAGTTTTTTAGGCCCAGCTCTTCTTCTTCTTCTTTTGTCCTCCACTTGTCCAGTTTTCTTAAATATTATAAGGACTCACTGCTCACCAGGCTGAGATCTGCCCAGTTTTCAGCCAGCAGCTCTCTGGGAACCATCAGAAATCCTGTTTCCTGTCTGTGAAACTGAGCTATCTTTGGCATTTTTCAAACATCAACTAATGAAACTGGAACAAATTTTCTGTCTTTGTGACAGGCTGCAGTTAACAAAGATCCCTAAAGATCCAATTTGAACTGCTTCTTTGCCAAGTTGGACACAACGCTGGCTCATCCCTTGAGTTAGGAGTTTATCCTTACTCTGAAATGATCCTCTGGTCATTGTGAGGTGGACAAACACAAGACACATGCTTTTGAAAATGGTCTTGAATGATGACACGACTAAGAACAAGTGAAAAAGCAGCCGATATCCAAAGAAACTCTTCGAAAACCTGGAGAATTGAGATGTTCTCATTCTTGTACTTCTACCCAAATTCAGACTCTTAAAAATCCACTGCTCAGTTAGTTATTCTTGCATCAGGTAATGATTCTGCTGAGCATTAGGAACACCTGCCATTTTCTTTTGTTTTGGATGAACAGCTCTTCAAAGAAGCTCCAGCTGGGGATGTCAAATTAAACGTATTTAACCGGGTTAATGAATAAACAAACTGTGGGATGTAAGACGAAATCATGATTATCTTTAATGATCTCACACAGAGGAGATTGTTTCCCACTTCAGCTTGTCGGTTTAAGCAAGACAGAGCAAATTTAATCAAATAAGGACTCATTCTTATCCATAAGTATACAATTGGAGGTTTGTGAAACTTTTAATACTAAATGCTAAGTAAATAGTTTCACTGTTATTTAAAAGTTTCATTGTTTTAATCAAATACATCCAAATTATTTTAGAAGCTTTCCTGCCAAGGTGGACTATTTTCTTTGCACTTCATTATAATCTTGTATACCTTATAATTATCTATATATAAAAAGGTCTGATAGAGGGTGAAAGGAGCACTTTGGAATGTTTTCATGTAAAATATATTTTCTTGTAATGATCAATTTGATGTTTTTTACATTGTTTGCTTTGTTAACCATTTGAAATGTTAAAACTTTGACATTTTCCTTCTCACTCACCTTCACAAACCCGGTTTTGTCTCAGATTTTCCATTTGTTTAAGAAAGGATTAATCAGGAAAATGTCTTTAAAAAAGTTGTAGAATTGACACAGAACATTTAAAACGTCTCTCCATTTGTGGGATATTTTGCTTTTTTCCAGATGATTCCATCACTGTCTTTCAGGAGCTGAAGGAGCTGCTGAGGAAAAACGCCACAGTGGAGTCGTTCATTGAGTGGCTCGACTCTGTGGTTGAGCACAAAGTCATCAAGGTAACAAACGTCCTCATATTTTTTGCGTTTCACAATTCGTCAAATTCACAGTCTGTGTCTCGATCAGCCGGGAAAACAAAGCGGTCGGTCGGTGAGGAAGCGGGCTCAGGATTTCCTCCTCAGATGGAGCTTCTTTGGGGCCCGAGTGATGCACAACCTCACACTAAACAACGCCTCCAGCTTTGGTAAGAAAACGTTCACGAAAATGTAGCAAAATCCTCATTAAATTTAAAAAAAGATCAAATGTTATTATGCGATCTGTTCTGTCTAATGTTTTTTTATTTTATTTTGTGAAGTCCTGGAAAACAAACTTAAAGCATCATCTCAAATTGAGAAAATTAAACTAATGTTGTGTACAATAACATCAGGGAAAGTCAAGACTTTTGCTTTTATTTTCAGTAAGAATTGTAGAAATACAGTTCCCCCAAAAAAACATTTTTCATTAAGCATTTTTGTGTAGATAATTTGGCAACTAGTTTTCACAAATCTCTAGGACAACCCCAACATGTTGAAATATGTCCCGAAAATGTCAGAATTTATGCTACAGCATCTTTTCTTTACAGCATTTAATGAATGCTCAGTCTTAACTGAATATGTGTGAATTGAACATTTAAAAGTTTTTACTAGGACTTTCTTGAGAGATGGATTTTATGTATAATTCACATAACAACGGGAGTAGTATTGACTAAAAAAGGTCTTAAATTGCCAAATAAATACACTGAGAATAGGATTGGGCCTTGAGAAAATCTTTTTAATAAGACATGACACAAACCATGGTAGAAAAATTGGAAAATTACAATTAGACATAAGAAAAAGATTTTATGATCATCTGTGTAAAAGGTTTTTGGACAAATATATCAGAGAGAATTCTGTGAAATAACAAATATCTCAGATAATGCCAAAAAGATCAGGAAATAGGGTTCACACTAACATATTTTCCTTTTACATTTGTGTGCTATAACGTTGTCACAAACCCTTCCAAAAGCCTTCATGGGTCCAGGCCCCCCACAAAGCTTTTAGACTCCCCGAATCCACTCAAACCAGCCCACCTCGCACAGAAATAAACCAGCTTGAAGCAGTCTGCTACAATAGCATCATAAATTGTAATGGCCAGACTTGGCTTGATTACACAGAGTCTTATCTGAGGTCCGGTGCTCTCTGTTCAAACACGCGGAGGCTGGCGGTGTGTGCGTGAATAAACACGGACCATTTGGTGGGTCCTGCTCCCTCTGAAGTCCCACTGAGGCTCAAACAGGTCAAACAGAGAGCAGCTCGGCCCCAAGGGTAAAAAACGCTGAGCTCAGCTGCTTTTTCGCATTTCATCAAGCGTTTATCAAGCGTTTTTTTGTTGTTGTTTTTTTTAATTAAAGTTTTTTAATCATTTTTCTTTTATAACACAGTTACAAACAGATTCAACATTCAACAGCAGCTTTTTCGCATTTCATCAAGCGTTTTTTTTTGTTTTTTCATTAAAGTTTTTTTTAATTCATTTTTCTTTTATAACACAGTTACAAACAGATTACATTCAACAACAAAAACACAAACACCGGCAGCAACACAGAACACGACAGCACTTATCAGTTACCTTTTCACAGATATATCAATGCACATATTCATACTCACGGTATACAGTGGGGGAAATAAGTAATTGACCCCTTGCTGATTTTGCAGGTTTGCCCACTTAGAAAAAATGCAACGATCTATAACTTTAATCATATGTACATTCTAACAGTGAAAGACAGAATCCCAAAGAAAATTCCAGAAAATCACATCATATGAATTTATAAAAATTGATAACCATCTGATGAGGAAAAATAAGCATTCTTTGTAAGTGAGCAAACCTGCAAAATCAGAAAGGGGTCAAATACTTATCTCCCCCACTGTAGCAATGCACATATTCATACTCACAGTATACATCACCCCCCAAATTCCTTAACCCTTTAAATCCCGATCCAAGAATAAAACTAAACAGAAATTTTTTGTTTGAACTCCTTATTTGGCCTTTTAACAAAATATATAAAAACATACATATTTAATATTAATAATTTATTACTATGCGATAAGTCAAGATTATTTTTTTGTGTAGTCTTCTGCCCCCTGTTATCAGGTGTATCTGATTGTGTACAATAGGATTTTGAGAAAAGTTTTTACCATTAAATTATGCAAAAGGTGTCAGACGCAAAACATTTCAGACACCGTACGTATCAAATATGACACATTTAGCATTAGAGGGTTAATCTTCCTTCAGCTTTTGGGATGCCCTCTGGCATCAGTGACTCGTCTCCTAAAAGGCTAAATTGTGCAGACTGGTAGAAGTTCACTAAGCCAGTCCTCGAATATTTTCATCCAGCGGTTTTGAGGCCGTTTACATGGATGTAAAGTCTTTAATGGGCACCTTGTTGTCTTCCTTCAAAGGGTCCTTCCACCTGATCCGGATGCTTTTGGACGAATACATCCTGCTTGCTTTGGAGACCCAGTTCAACAACGACAAGGACCAGGACCTGCAGAACCTGCTGGAGAAATACATGAGAAATGCAGGTATCAGTCACCACAACACACGGACACATCTGCCCCCAAACGTGAGGAAGCAGCACTCTTTTTACGACTGTAGTAAATATATCACATTTAAATTCAAGTCAAGTCAAGTCAAGTAAGAGTATAGTAAGAGTAACAGTAAGAGTACGTATAAGTATAAGAGCTGCCCAGACCATAGAGGAGTTTAAGTCCTGTTTAAAAACCCATTTATTCGACATGGCTTTTAACATTTTAACCTTAGGTTGAGGTAGAGCACCTTTTTACCTTTTTTATTTATTTTATTTATTTATTTATTTTTACATTAAAATCACATATACATGCTTTTATGTACAGCACTTTGGCAACCTTGGTTATTTTAAATGTGCTATATAAATAAAGTTTGACTTGACTTGACATTTAAATTATATTATTAATATTTATAGCATCTGTTTTTTTTTAGGAAGGACTGTACAAATAAAGTAAAATGATACACTCTCCAGTTCTAGTGTTTCAGGCTATACGTTATACAGGCATATCACTGGTCAAATTATCCGCCAAACTCCTATATTACATACACACAACTCCTATTATATACACTATACTTAATCTGTATTTTTTTTTTTTTTTTGCTTAATTTTATTTCATTTAACTTAATACTTTTTTGCCCTGTAAGCTGCTGGTAACCTTAATTTCTTGAGGGAGTCTTCCCATGGTATCAATAAAGTACTGTCTAAGTCTAAGTTTAAGTCTTAAAATGAAATAATACAACCCCAGAATGAGGAAAGATACAGTTTTAATATCTATTTGTTAAAAAATTAAGGCAAAATGCCAAGGAGGAAAGACATCAGAATGATCTGAGAGAAGCAGCTGTTGCTACCAATCAATCTGAAGGATTTGAGAAGGTTTCCAAACTATTTCGAGTCCATTATTCTACAGAAAGAAAGATAATAATAACAATAAACAATAATCGGAGTGGACATCCAAGCATGGTCACTCAAAGGTCATCAAAGGGCTAGAGGGCTAAAGGTCAAAGGTCATGAAAGCACAGTGAGGAAAAAGTCCAAACAAGTAAGGTTTGTTGGTTTGGGCTGCTGGAGACAAGCCTCTCCTCTGGAATAAATTAAATAAAACGGATAAAATCCATCCTAAACCATGAGAGAGAGAAAAATACATAATCCAGAAACCAGATGATGTGAAACCAGATGTTGTGTTTTTTTTATCACCTCTGTTTCAGACGCCAGTAAAGCTGCCTTCATGGCCTCGCCCAGCTCCTGCTTCCTGGCCAATCGCAACAAACCCTCAGGTCCTGCCGACCAATCGGTGAAGAACGAGTCTCTGGCAGAACACGCCTACATGTCTCTGTCCACCAATCGGCATCAGAGTCTGGAGGCGAAACCGGTCCTCTACCCGGGAACCGACAGCTCCGGGTTCACGGTGTCAGGTAAAACAAAACCCACTCTGAGACGAAGGGAGAGAAATGAGCCATGGTTCTGCTCGAGGTTTCTGCCTGTTAAAAGGAAGTTTTTCCTTGCCTGTGTCGCCTAGTGCTTGCTCATGGTGGGAATTGTTGGGTTTCTGTAGTTAACTTCAGAGTAGGGTCTGACCTGCTCTGTTTGGAAAGCGCTGTGAGACAACTGTTGTTGTGATGTGGCGCTATATAAATGAAATTGAATTGAATTGAATTAATTTTAATTTCGTAATGTCATTGTCTGAACGTGTGTTTGGACTGATTTTGTATTTTGTGCTTTTGTGTTGTTTGGTCTTCCTGCTTCAGGACTACAGATGTAAACTAGCAACTATGCTAGAATCTGGCTCATTTATAATCTGTATGAGATTGTTCATTAATGTGCACTGTCCTGATTAAAGAAATAAAAAATAATAATAAAAAAAGGATATTCAAGAAAAAACAAAAAAACTAAACAAAAAAAAAACAGGAGGATTCTGAGCCCCAAATAACAAAAATTAAAACAAATTTGGGATTTGAGCCACTGATTGTACTTAAATAACAAAACCTTTAATATCCAAGCTAATATCATTCTATTTATTTTGGTGGTCCATTTCACACGACTGAGAGACAAATAAGTAAGGCAATTTACAATAAACTGAAATATTTCACAGAAATAATTAAGTGGGATACTCTGCTGTGGTAACAGGAGGGCCTAAGAGGCCAGATTTAAAGGAGTATTCCTGATCTCAAAGGCGATTAATCTGTTGAGAATAGTGTGGATGTGGGGTCAAATGTGGTCTATATATATATACACACACATATATATATATATACATATGTATGTACATTTATATATAGACTTATATGGTTTTCTTATTGAAGGATTCACTTATTAAGGATCTTTCCGAGTAGGAACTTCCACAGTTTAAAACCTGGTACAAACTGCATTAAAGCTGTTTAGGTTCAAATACGATACAATTATCAATCAGATTCGAGCCTCAACCATTAAAAACATCAATTTTCTGACCACCAGGAGAAACAGCAGCTTCTATTTGCTTCATTTTTCAGTTCTGTAGATCAGTATTTTTCAACCACTGTGCCTCGGCACACTAGTGTGCCGTGAGTGATGGTCAGGTGTGCCGTAGAAAATCATCCTATTTCACCTAATTGGTCTAAAAAGATTTTTTGATAAGTAATTAATTATCTGCAATTAATGTGCCATTTTTGAGTGTCTGTGCTGTTCTAGTGACTGGTGACGTATTCATGTAATAATTCCTTATGACTAGATTTTGTATATAATTTTGTATATTGAAGTGGACATGTTAAGAGCAGTTTGAAAGAAGAAATATAAAATATGATAAACATACATTTTTGTGTTTATTTGATTCTTATTCAAGACACTTAAGATAAGACTTGTCATTGTACAAAAAACACAAGGTGAATCTTGACAACGAAATGTCGATTACTTGATAAAATAAGAATAACTATAGTGTTACTATAGTTTAACATTTTTGGTTGGTGGTGTGCCTCGGGATTAATTCAATGAAAAAATGTACCTCGGGTTAAAAAAAAGTTGAAAAATACTGCTCTAGATGCTTGTTTACTATAATAAAACAGACTTCCTGTCTTAATACCTCACACTCAGGTGGTCAGATGGACTTCAGCGGCCCCCTCATGACGCCTCCCATCTCTCCGTTAGTGAACCGAGGCTCCGTCATCAACCAGGGGCCCATGGCAGGGAGGCCCTTGGCTTCTTCTTCTCCTCCTTCTTCCTCCACCTACTCCACCTCCCTGTCCTCCTGCCTCTCCTCTCTGGGAGTGATGACCCAGCCCAGCCCCTGTCCATCTTACTCAGAGAACCTGTATCACTGTTTACCTCAGACCAGTTCCGGTTATTTCCCGCCCTCCAGCAGCTCCTCCAGCCAAAACTACCAAACTATCAGGTAGGGTTGTCAAAAGTATCGATACTAAAATGTTGTATCCGGATACAATACTCATTTTCAAAAGTATCGATACCACCGTCGCTGCCCCCCTTCTCTCTGATTTATTTATGTATTTATATACGTTGTTTATGATCATTAACTCATTGACTGCCAGCCATTTTCAGAACAGAGAGTCCCAGAGAGTTTTTTTTAGCATTTTGACTGATTTTTCAAGAGCCACAGAATAGTTTGTGCTATGACTATGTAAACACCAAACACACCAAAAGAAAGAGTAGACTCTCTTCCTTCATCAGGAAAAAAAAATTGTTTCTACCTTATTCCGTTTTTCCTGGACTTGCGTCTCACCGGCGCCATTTCTCGCATAGCGAACCATTGCGTTTTTTTTTATTTGCCTACAATCTATGCTCAAATCCCATCAAAAGTGGCACTGCCCCCTAGAGGGTCAATTTGTTACTACATACTCTGTCTAGAAGCCTGATATTTACGGACAAGCTTTAGCAGATCGTCCCCCAGCCACTCGCGTTGAAAAACATAAAAGACGTCTATAGACGTCTTTGGCAGTCAATGAGTTAACAAGAGGTTAGCCTTGCTAGCTGCGGCTAATGGCTAATAATAACAAGCTACCATTAATCAAGTACATATCCAACTCTGCCCACATCCAATTCGGACATTTTGATTACATCACCAATAGGAAGATCCCAGGCAAGAAAATCCTAATTGCTTCATGGCAATATAGACATTCATTTAAAAATAGTGAAATGAATCTTTTAAGCACTGAATTAAACTCTATACATATTATGTTAAATAGTGTATATTAAATCGGTTTGTACAATAAGTCCAAACAAGTTTAACCCAAAAATATTTATTTCTCACAATTATGAAGGGTGGAGGGTTAGGGTTAGGGTCATTAATGTGGGCCACCATAAAATCAGTAACAGGTCAGTTTGAAATCAAAGACACAATTCAGTTAAATTTTGAGGTCTTTGTTTTTATCCTTGTGGTATCGAAAATGGTATCGAATATCGAGTATTTTCCTGAGTATCGGTATCGAGTTGAAAATTTTAGTATCGTGACAACCCGGTCAGCTTCAGTCTCAGCCTGGGAGTCTTCTTCAATCATTATAATCAAATTAATCTATGAGGCTTAGAGAGAACACAAACGTACAGATTTCTTCTCTTTCTCTCAGTTCTCAGACCCAGAATCAGTGTCTGACTCCACTCCAGGCTCAGGCCTCCCCTCTGACCTGCCACCTGCCCCGATACCCCCCCATCAACGACCAGCACCTGACCAAAGACCCCTTCTACAACCCCCACCCCGCCCTGGTCCACCACTACAGCCCCGGTCCAGACCCGGCTCAGGCCGAGCAGCAGCTGGACTCGGCCGCTCAGATCCTGGACCCCGCCGAGGGTTTCGGCTTTGTGGGATCTGGGCTGAACCTGGCAACCGGTGGCTGCCAGGGGCAGAGCTACTCTGTCACGGGACACAGCGGTGAGAATACCTACATGTGCTATTTTTTCATTATCTTACTTAAAATTTTATTAATATTTTTTTTCATACATTTTTTATTAATATTTTATTTTTTCATTTTTTTATTTTTTTATTTTTTTATTAATTTGTATTAATTTGTATAATTTTTTATTTATTTTTTATTATTTTTTTATTAATTTGTTTAATATTTTTTTATTAATATTTTATTAATATTTCCCCACAATCATAATTCCATTGTGACAAAATATATTACATAAAAGAAATGTGACGGTCAGTTAAATAATAGAAGATCCAAGAATAATTTTTTAAAGCAAAACATAGAATCTTATTAAGAAATTATAATAGAAATATAAATTGAAGATAATAATTTTCTTAAGTAAGTGGTACTTTAAGTATTGTGGTTTAGTTGTGAGGGGCATTTATATATTTCTTCTTTAATTTCTTATTCTGTCAGTTTCAGCCCTAAAATACGTGTGATAGAAAAGGCTGCTTTTCCCTTTTTTACACTGTCACTACAGACGGACTTACTATGTTTTGTTTTTGACTCATGAGGCCCGTTTAATATCAACAACACTGTGTTTGAAATGTTGTTTTTGAGGGTGAAAATCGGAGCTAGAACAGCATCTGAATTCCTCTGGTTGTCATGGTTACATGGTTATTTGCTTATCTATGAGTGGTCAGTGTCCGAAACCCCTTTGCATTAAATATCGAGTCCCTTTGGCAGTTTTTTATTCATGCTTAGAGCCAGTGGTTTGTAAGAGAAAACAGTCTAAGGCAGTGTTTTTCAACCATTTTTGAGCCAAGGTACATTTTTTCATTGAAAAAATCACGAGGCACACCACCAACCAAAAATGTTAAACAAATCTGTAGCCGCCTATAGTAACACTATAGTTATTCTTATCTTATCTTAAGTGTCATGAATACGAATCAATTAAACACAAAAATTTATTTTTATTATATTTTATATTTCTTCTTTCAAATTGCACTTAACATGTCCACTTCAATACACAAAATTATATACAAAATCTAGTCATAAGGAATTATTACATGATTACGCCACCAGTCACTACTACAGCACAGACACTCAAAAATGGCACATTATTTGCAGATAATTAATTCCTTATCAAAAAGTATTTTTAGACCAATTAGGTGAAATAGGATGATTTTCTACGGCACACCTGACCATCACTCGCGGCACACTAACGTACCGAGGCACAGTGGTTGAAAAACACTGATCTAGAGAACTGAAAAATGAAGCAAATAGAAGCTGCTGTTTCTCCTGGTGGTCAGAAAATTGATGTTTTTAATGGTTGAGGCTCGAATCTGATTGATAATTGTATCGTATTTGAACCTAAACAGCTTTAATGCAGTTTGTACCAGGTTTTAAACTGTGGAAGTTCCTACTCGGAAAGATCCTTAATAAGTGAATGTTTCTACAGTGGTTGAAAAACACTGGTCTAAGGCTGTAAACCTTCCTCCAGCAGGATATTACGGCGGGTACCTGGACGGCCAGCGCTTGACCTCGATGGTGGACCAGCACGTGTCCGTTATCAGCAGCGTCGGCAGCCTGAGGCATTTCCCCTCCAGATTCTCCGAAGTCCACGACCCGCTGAACATCCTGGACGAGCCGGGCCGGAAAACCACGGCGGGGTTTTTCAGCGAGGTGGAAACCGGAGCAGGTGAGGAGAGGAGGAGCTTACACTGTTGTTTTTCATAATATTCACTCGGTGTCTCGCTCATATTATTCTGAGAAGGCAAGGCAAGTTTATTTGTAAAGCACATTTAGTGTACAAGACAATTCAAAGTGCTTCACAGAGAATTTAAAAGCAGAAAAACAAGAAAAGAAAAATAATAAAAATTAGACAGATGAGAAGTCAAGGGTGCAGACAAAATACATTAAATTCAAATATTTTCAACCTGGATTTAAACACTGTCAGAGTTGAATCCTGTCTCACATCTTCAGGCATCATGAGTCAGTTCCAATAAGTTCTGCTTAAATGATTGAGGATAATGTTAATTTACCAAATGGAGGCAGAGGTCAATGAGGATCAGCCCAAAACAACAAATCAGTCAGAAATAAGCTATTGGAGATTGCAAAGTTAGAATTCAAACATTTAGAGTGTTTCATGTGTTGAAAGATAAGATATTCATGTGGATAGTGCTGAGATGGGCTGCAGGAGACTGGGGAACAAACTAAGTTTTATTTAGAAAAAGACAACAGGAAGTGCAGCCAAGCCAGAATAACCAGAAACTCTGCTTGAAAAAAATATGAAAAATTAAAAAAGTGCCACACCCCCTACAGGGCACGTAACAGTGATTTCAAAATAAATAAATAAATAAATAATCTGATTCAGAAAATCGAGGTCTCAGACAGTTCTGGCCTTTTTTGATATGCAACATGACCACATTCCTGTTGGAAAAACCTGCCCCTGATCCAATATGGCGGCTTTTCAAGATG